ATCGGAGGCCTAAAGCAAAATTTCAACTAGAGGCCTAAAATTTAAATAAACTTCATATGCATTAATTTTTTTTTAAAAAAAAACTTACATTTTTAAATGCAAAGTATACTTAATATTTTTTTTATAAATGATTTATTCGATTTCTTTTACAATTATTAGCTTTAGATAAGATTTTATCAATTCAACGTTGAAAAACATTTCTTACTCGGGCAATTATTATATGAATTGTTAACATAGAATTTGATTCAACAAGTTGATAATTTTGTATACCCCACATTTTACTATGCTTGTTGTAATGCTTGAAAATCTAAGAAGAAATAGAAAAAGAATTTACAATTCACTCAACACTTTTCGACTATTGATTCATATTTTTGATAGAATATTACTCTAACTTATCAAAAATTTAAAGAAGAGAGTGCAAAAGGAGTTAAAAGAATAAAATAATGTGAATATTAGTGTAGTGAGTGTAAGAAAATAAAACATTTTTTCTTGATTTCTTCTATTTAAATGGGATTAAAGAGAATAAAATATATATATATTTTTAAAAATAAATAAATATATATATATATATATTATCATAAATAATCAATCTTTTCTATACAAATTTAACACATAATTTTTTATTGGTAAAAAATTGAGGCCCCCTAAAATTGGGGGCCTAAGGCCAATGCCTTATTCAAATAAGCATAGAGCTGGCCCTGTTCAGAGATAACACTCTCTACAAGAATTTCTCTATATTTTGAGCTCAAACCTGAGACTTTTGATTAAGGGTGCGATAAAATGTTTTTATATTATATTACTCCCTTCAAAATTTTGCTTCGTTATACTAGTTTCACTTATAATCTACCAAAATTTGAAAAAAAAAATCCAACAAAATCAATAGAAACTGAAGCAATGAAAATCAACTTAATTGATTTAATTTGATTCTAACATTTCAAAAACTGAGTTGATTGATTTAATTTTTTGTTTGTTTGAGAGAAGTCCTTCCAACAAAAATCTCAATCTCGTTTGGGCAATTCATAACCAAATGCCTACTGATGATTAGATAGTCGATAAGTTTAAAATAACCATTGTTTCTAAATGTGTTTGTTGTGTTTAAAACATAATAAATTCAAAAAGTAAGACCATCTCCAACCCCATTTTTTCATATAAAGCTATTAATTAAATTTCTAATATTCGTAATTCTTTTTAAATATAATATAATATTTTAAAAATATTATTTAATATATACCACTTCATCTCGAATTAATAATATTTCAAATATTTTTTTTTCATTTTTTCGTCACTTTAAGTGATTTTGATATTATTATTAATTTTCATTATAAAGAATGCACAAAATTTAAATGATAAGATGCAAATTTTAATTTTAAAATACAATACATTACTGTCACGACCCGATTTCTCGAGTCATGATGGCACCTACTATACCCTACCAGTAGGTAAGCCAACCCGTAACCCAGAACATCAAGCAATGAGCGAAAGGGAAGAAACTAGCGAAAACAATAATCTAAACAAGAATAACAAGACGAAAGCAACCCAAAATAAATATATACAGAAATCCCTCCCAGAACCTGGAAGTCACTAGTACAGAGCTATCTAATAAAGAATACAAGTCCCAAAAGTGGACCACAACAGAGCGTGTCTCAAAGGCAACAAGACTAGCTAAAACAAAAGAAGGAGACAGAACAAACCCCAAAACGCCAAGTGCTCGCCCTCGTCTCCGAATCACAACTGCAAAAGAAGGCTGGAACTAATCACCGCTGGTAATTGGTACTGGGACCTGCATCACGAAATAGATGCAGAGCGTAGCATGAGTACCAACACAACAGGTACTCAGTAGGCATCATAGGCCGACTGAGCAAAAATGGTAAAAACAATAAGAAAGGATAGAATCTAGACACAGAGAGGTCAAAGTGGATATGAAAAGAAAGCACACGAGCATACCAGAAACAAACTAAGTACACTAAACTAAACCTAACTGGACCCCCATATGCCCAGAAGGTACACTCGTGCGCAAGCTCAAATGAAACCTGAACGGACCCCCATAAGCCCGACAGGTGCACAGAAAAGTTAAGTCTATTGAGAAAGAAGGAAACCGGGCTTCCAGCCCAAAGTAACTAAGATAATCCATCAGACTCCACCCAGCCAGCAGTGCACTCCCAGCCCAGCTAGAAAGAGTGACCCTAGGGGTCACCCAACCAAACAATCCACTCCCATCCTAGCTAGAAAGAGGGACCCGTGAGTGAGGTAGATATCGCGAGTCGTCCTACCATGTAGTCAGCTCCCAGCCCAGCTAGAAAGAGCGACCCGGGGACACCCAGCCAGCAGCACACTTCCAGCCCAGCTAGAAAGAGAGGCCCGGGAGCGATCGCCGATATCACCGAGTCTACCCAGCCAGCGATACGTTCCCAGCCCAGCTAGAAAGAACGACCCCAGGGGTGATGGTATCTTCAATAGGATCCAATCCCACAACAACCACTATGGAACGCCGTCCACTCTAAGAAATCACAGAAAAGGCTCCAAGCCTATACTATCTCAATCCCACGCCTCTAGTGATGCACCAAACCTTCGAGAATGCGCCGGAACCGCATAATGCGAGAGAGAAGATACAGAAGTGCAGCAAGTAGCGATAACGCCTAATCTAAGGCTCAAACTATCAGACTCAAGTCTGCTATTCCAGTCTACAAGGAGCTAAGTCATCCGAACGACGTCGGCAGAAAGTCAAGGCTATCCAGCCCACACGGGTCATAAGTCTAAGGCAATGCTAGCCTAACCTAGACTAAGGACATCATGCTTACGGTTAAGGATAAACAAGGGATACAATACAAATCATACAAGCATACAATAGCATTTAGCACATAGACATGCAACTCTACTAAACCGGTTAACATGATACTATACTCGAAATGTGGCCAATCGATCCTAACATAAGGTATCTAATCAAAGTAAGGCAGTAAACTAGTACCCACACCCAATTCACTCCAATCGACATGTTTTTACACAATTAAGCTCAATCTAAAATAAAGGAAAGTCGTAGCCTACCTTAAGGCCGATCGCGCGCTCTCAAAATCACTTTTCCAGAGCTTTCCCTTTTCGAACAGTCTCAAAACGCTGCCCCGCTATCAAAAATAGAGTCACAATGTTACTATGGTCATTTAGACACCAAAATCACAACAAACGGAGACGGGTCAAATTTGGAGTCAAAACGGGAATCGTGGGACCCGCACCGAACTGTCTGAATTTGACTCCGTCAAGAGACCCTAAACAACACCCCAAACTTATGTCCCAAAATGAAACACAATTCGAGGCTCAAAACATAGCAAAAACCAACAAGCAAGAAACCACACTTTAATCTACTAAAGGAAACCCTACAACAGCAGTCCAAAACTCGAAATAAATGAAAATCAAAATGTTCCCAACACTCTTTGAACACTCTACAATGAACCCACGACAATTCTCAACACGTGGGACTTCGAATCACCCAAAACCGAGCTAAAATGAGTGAGATATGGCTAAAACAAAAATACCAAAAACAAGGACTCGAAAAAGGTACAGCAGTCAGGTTTCATCGCGAAATTACCTCTAACTACGCGCACCCAACAACTTTCGAACACCCTACAGCGAAGCCACTGAAAATATGAAGCTCCCGCACTTCGAATCGCCTAAATCGGATGAGAGATGAGAGAGTTATGAGAGTTTGAAGTTTTGGGAATTGTTGCTGGTTTTCTGCATTTATTACAGAAAATCTGCAATAATTTCCAAAACTTAAACTCCGACGGGGTGCTCCGATCTCGTTCGGAACCCCGTGCACGCAAACGAGATATGCAACCATACCAAATTTGATATTCCAGACTCAACGGCGCAGTCAAAATTTCGATCAGAGGTCATTTCGATAAAAAGTGGGTCCCACTTCCAAAAGCCATTTTAAGTCAAAACCACAAAAGGGCTCGGAAAGATATCGAAAACCTCGGGACACAAAAGAAGGGTCAATCTAGACCAAACTCGACATTTCGGATCTAACTGCACTGACGGAATTCTCATCCGAGCGCGTTTACTCAGAATGTTGACCAAAGTCAAACTTAAGCCAAAATTCAAAGGCTAAAATGTCTAATCACACCGACTCACACTGAAAACCTCAGGAGTCATGTCGACCATGCTACTAGCTTAAAATGACCCTTTCGGAGCTGATGGAATCGTCAGAATTGAATTCCGATGTCATCTTCTTGAACTTTTGATCGAAAATGATTGTTCAAGGTTCATAAGCTCCCAAAACACAAAAACTCACACCAAGACCAAACGAACGACTAGGTGACCGAACTGTCAGTCCCAGCAAGTCATACATGACTTGGGGTCGCTACAGGAACGCTCTAAACGACACACAGAAGGCAAGACACAGAAATGACCAAGAGGGTCATTACAATTACACAATAGTTTAAATACAAGATACATAGCATAATAATTTTAAAAATCACAACTATAATTTAGTAATCCGGTAGGTCATTTTCAGATTTAACAATATTTGGAAAAAAAATGTATGATCCAAAGAATTATTATACTTGTGATTATGGTTGTGCTTGTTAATTTCTTTTTTCAATTATTCGTAGTTGTTTTTTAAAATTTTAGAATAAATATAATTTTATATTAAATAAAAAATTATATTACATGAAAATTAAAATAGGGTGATTATTTTGAAAAAATAATGAACAAATGTATATTGTGAAAAGAAAAATGAAATAAGAATAGAAATAAAAATAATAATATAATATAATATTAAATAGAAAGAAGAAGATTCTTCTTTAGAAATAAAATAGATAATTGATTTGGAGTTTATTGTCTGAAAATAGAAAATTTTATATTTGGTTGTTAGAAAAATAATAGTAATAACTCTTGGTCTAGGATCCAAATGGGAAAATTTTCGTCTACTTTTGTTAAACTTTGAGGACCTTTTTGTGTACAAGTTTAACATATGAAGGACAAAAGTGGCTCTATTCATATACATAAGGGGCCATTTGCAATTTTCCCTATTTTAGTTTACTGTTTTTCTTTCCAGAACCCAACCTCTCTCCCGTCGTAAAGGACAAAAAAAAACCCTCCCACCACCGGTTCGCCACCGCCTGCGGCAGATCCACCTCCCTTGTCGCCGTGAAGTTTCCTGCCTGTGGTGTTTGGTTGTCTTCGATCTCAAACTCTTGATTATACCTTCTGCTCTATTATTGGTATGTATGTCTCACTATTTCTGTTAGCTAATCTTTCTACGTTTGATTTTACTGGATTGAAAGAATTGCTTTGTTTGAACTATTTTTCCGGTTATGGGAGTAATTTGCTTGCTCTTTTCTTAGAACTGCTTTAGTTTCTCTTCTTCTATTTATTTGTTTCTTTTTGTTCTCCATATTTCTTTTAGGGCTTTTCGGTGTTGGTCATTGAATCTAATTGACAAAGGTTCAATTTTAAGAGTTGGAAAAGAAGTAGAAAAACCGAGGTTCAAAATATGATTGAAAGAATATTATTTGTTTGTCCTTGATAATCTTCTGTTTACCTCTCTTGCTCTAAAAATGAGAATTAGTCAATGTATTGATGTAAATGCGTCTAATTTATTTGCAGAGTTCATAAACTGCTAGATAAGATCAAACTGGTTGTAATTTTTATGGTAAATTTCTCAATCTGTAAATGTAGATGTTTTTATTTTTTATAGTAGCAATATTATTGAAAGTTTATTTGCTTTAGGTTTTTGCCATTTTTAGCCTTTTTAGCTCGATTGATTTGTCTTTATAAACTGAAAAGACGGATAAACTGAACCAGAGCCCAAAATGTATACTCTATCTGGACATGTTAATGATAACATGTTTATGTTCAAAGCAGTGTGGCACCTGGAACCTCTAAATCCTGAAGCCTCTCTTTGGCCGACTTCGGTGAACTACTCGACCGTCTCTTTCTCAAAGTAAAATCTGAGTTGTAAGTTCCCTTTTTCCTCATTTTCCGTCCATGAGTCCATGTGCTTCCTCCATAAACTGATTCTCTTTGTCTCTGCTTATACCGAAGCCTTTACTTTGTCCTCTTTCCAATGCTTTTTATTGTTAGATGGAGAATTCAAATACTCCAGCATCTGATTCAAACGCTGCCAAAGCTGAAGCTGAACAGCTGCCAACAGCTCCCGGTAAGAGGCCTCCTCCTCCTTCTCAACTGGAAACAACTCTACTCAATTTATTTGTGGTTTCTGGCGTCCTGTCATTTGGGATCTCATCTCAAGTTGATTAGAATATAGAGCCTAATAAATATCATACCAAAGTTTTGGGACAAAAGTGGAAATATGTGTAATTAATTTTCATTACATATCATATTACGTTGATGATAAGTCACTGTAATCTGATTCCTACCATCACCTTTATCAGATTTTCAGAAGCTGCAGCTACCACTGTGCTGCGTATTAGAATTAAATCTTCTGAATGGTTAGTGTATAATCTGATAATGCACTGTAATTTGACTCTTAGAAGCTGCTGTTACCCCCATAGTAAGTATTAAAATAAACTGTTCAGAGGTTTAGTTTAAGTCCATATATGATTATCTCGAGTTCGGCACTGAAGATGACTGTACGAATGTTCCAATCAGTACTGTTTTTGTTAGTACCCCGGGTTTGCATATCTTATAAAGTATTCTATGCTAGCAAATATTAATCCTAAGTTCCTTTTCTCTTCTAGCTCGCTTTTGGCTTCTTTTGTCAATTTACTGTCGCTTCTTTTGCTTAATATGTTTTTGTATACTTTCCTCTATTGCAGTATGCAATTTTTTCAAAAAACCATCCAAGGGAAAAAATATCAGAAAGCGTCCTACGGTTGAAGAGGGAGAGAATGAAGATGCAGAAGGAGATAGTTCAGTCATATATACCAAGAAAAAGCCAGCGGTTGCGAATAATAAGCTGCATTTCTCAACTGGACCTTCAAAGTCCAACAAGGATACTGAATCCAATGTGGATTCAAAAGCAGCTCGTTTTCATTTCGAGTCCTCAAAGGAAATTCAAGTTCAAAATGATAGTAGAGCAACAGCCACTTTAGAAACTGAGACTGAGTTCTCTAGAGATGCCCGGGCCATTCGAGAAAGAGCTCTGAAGCAGGCAGAGGAGGCTTTAAAGGGAAAAAGCAAGACAGGTGGTGATGAGAAATTGTATAAAGGTATGAATCAATATACTGATTACAAAGCTGGTTTGAGAAGAGAACATACAATTTCTAGTGAGAAAGCTGGTGGAGCGCATGGTCCTCTCAGGGCTTCTGCTCACATCAGAGTTTCAGCAAGGTTCGACTATCAACCAGATATCTGCAAGGACTATAAAGAGACTGGATATTGTGGATATGGGGACTCCTGCAAATTTATGCATGACCGTGGAGATTATAAGTCTGGGTGGCAGATGGAAAGGGAGTGGGATGAAGCTGAGAAAGAGAGGAAAAGAAAATTGGCTTTGGGGATGCTCAATGAAGACGATGAGGATGCAGAGAAGAGTGATGAAGATGATGATGACGATGCATTACCATTTGCTTGTTTTATCTGCAGAGAGCCTTTTGTGGATCCTGTTATGACCAAATGCAAACACTACTTCTGTGAGCACTGTGCATTAAAGGTAATTTCAGTTACTTTTTACTCTTTTTTGCTTGATCATGTCATGGGGTCTGCGAACAACATCCACTTTTGTGTACCTTCTCCATTTCTCTTTTTAAAAAACATTTTTCTCTTATTTGAGATGACATAGTTTATCCCCCCACCCTCTCAACGTCTCAACCACCTAAATAAGGAATGGCAACAGAGTGAAAGAGAGATGGTTGTAAAAGACTTTCTTGGTGCCTTTTTCTATTGTCACTAATATATAATGAAATTACCCGTTGCAATAGGCAACAGTTGCAAGTATTTTAATTTACCTTTTTCCTCAAGTAAAAGCTGCCTCTTCTATTGGTTTGGACTTTTGTCAAACAATATAGACTATTGAAAACAGTTTGAGCTACTGTCACCTAGCGCACAGAGCTATGACTTATTTAACTTCTATTTATACTTTGCATGTGGATTTCAAGTTAATCTTTTTTTTCTTTTTGGTGGTTGTGGTTAACAGCACCATGCAAAGAATAAGAAGTGCTATGTATGCAACCAGCCAACCCTTGGGATATTCAATACAGCATTTGAAATACGCAAGAGAATGGCGGCTCAAGGGAAATGATGGATTTTCTGCCAGTTCTCTCTTTCACGATGCCATACTAGTGGATCTTGCTTTACTGTAAGTGCCTACAAATTGGATACATTAGATTTAAAATGTGCATTTCCTTTATATGTAAAGTATAACCCTATCTGTTTTCTTGCTAGAGCTCTCGCACAACTGATTCTCGACCTGCTATACTCCACCTACATACTTAGAGCATTTGGTTTTGATACGTAGGTACATGTTAACCTTGTAGAAATAGGAATACCTACATGTTTAGAACACTGCTTAATGTAAAAAATAAAGTTTATTTAGAAGAATACTTCCTTATAGATTGGAATTAGGGCTGCTCAAAATCGAACCTAAACAGACTTTTTTCGTACCTAAACCAACAAAAATTGGAAAAATCGGTTCGTCATTCAGCTTTTCATTTTAAATTGTTGGGATACATGGTTCAGTACTTGGTTCTTATCAATATTCAGTTTAAACCAAATACCTAACTAATATTATTTTAATTTAAAATACTATTATACATTTTATTTTATACAAAATTTGTACTTACGAACTTAGGTTTTTCTCACTTTCAACTTTCAATTCATGATCAACAGAGTAAAGAAATCCTTAGCCCTAGTTTCTCTGCCGTTGCCCTCTTACAACTCCAAGGCTCTGCTCTCTGATATGATATGATCCTTCAACGATGAGGACAAGTCTCCACATTCTGTTGCCTACTTTCCAGCGTCATCAGCAGCAAGCCAAATAATTTTTCACTATTTCCTTTCAGTGAACGGGTTATAACTTGTTTGTCTTGGGTTTCACAAAGTTCCCTTTTTTCATTGCTTATCAAGCTGTCCGAGGTTTTGTTAAAGTTGGGTGATTGTTAACATATGCAAGGAGAACAAGCTCCTTGTGATAGGGTACTGGAAATTTTGAGCCTTTGAACTTGTGCAGTTCGCAAGTTTAACCTTTGTTCATCACTTTTAAGTTTGTAATTCTACTAATGACATTTATCACTTTCCAAAAATCTCACACTTGGAATCCTGACTTTTACCCCTGTAGCTTCAAACACCAGCAGGAATGGTAATATGTAGGTGAACTTTATGTTGTTCGGACTCTTCAAAAATGTCATCGGGTGCGTGTCGGATCCTTCAAATTTAGTGCATTTTTGGAGGATCTGACACGGATGATATATAATACGTGACAAGTGCCCCACTTCCCAAAGATAAACATAAATTGTATAATTAGGGGATGCAATTAAGAGTACCTGAATTAGTTTCTTTATTTGGCAGGCTGTATGATGATTCAAGTAACCGGTTGTGATTGATGTATGATAAGGAAGTTTAGAACAATACCAACGCTGGTGGAAGATGAAGAATAGGACATTGACTTGAACGTCCAATATCACCATCTCTCCTTTGATGTGAAGAGTTGATATCTTATCTTATATAAGTACGACAACTTATATGGAATTAGAGTATGTGTTTTTCCTTTTTTCATTGCCTTAGTCATGTATTTTGGAATTTTAAGCCTACATGATAGATATAATGAATCACTTCAGTTGCTGGTCTATCTGTCTCAGCTAGATATCATATCTTTTGGCTGGTTTGAATTATTATGAGGGGACTAAAATTGTAAACTTGATGGTTAAATCAACCTTTTAACTTCTATTTTTGGTCTCAATGGAAATGACATTACTCTTTTTAAATCTGATGGTTTAGTTGAGTTAACATGCATCGATGACCAAAGTTGTTGTCCCAATTCTTTTTCTTTGGGAAATTAAAAGGCTCAGTACTTTGGTAAATCAGAAAATAATGCTAAGCTGCTTTGTAGCTTCTTTACATGTAAGGAACTCTTCCAATTTTCATTTGAATTGTTGTTACAAAGAATTTGAAAAGACACAATTTCTAATGTCATAGAAAGAACTTTGCTTTCTTTTTTCCTATTGTATACAAAAGATGGTTAGTGAAAACCAGGGGAGAGTGAGCATTCATCCACTAACTCTAAACCTGTTATAGACAAATAAATTAGCCATAAAACAGTTCCATGGCTCACAAGATTCAATTAAAACCAAAAAAAAGAAGGAAAAGAAAACGAAAAATCATCTTTCGGCTCATCTCTCATTGGGCAAAAAGTTAGACATCAGCAGAACAAAATCCGGTTAACCTGTACGTCATGAGTGTATATATGCACGGACAACATCTATTATGGGGGTTTCACATATCGGGCATTTTCCGGTGCCCCAAAGCAATTCATGGGCACACCTGAAACAGGTGCACATATGCCCACACCTGAAAATAAAGGACAAATGTTCCCACAAGATTAATATTACTTATTTCTGGTGTACTTTAAGTGTGAAAAATTCTTGCTGCAATCAATGCCAAGTACCTGTAAAGGAGAGAATCAACTTGCTGCTCATAACAAATACAACAATTTGCTATGTTTGCACTCTTCTTATCTGAGTTACTCCCAATCATTGGACCTGCATTACAAAATTGTTACTCCACTTACTCTCTAAAGAACCAAAATTGAACTAGACGAAAAGTAGAAAAAAATAAGATCACATGTAGATGAAGCTCATAAGTGAAGCCTGGTCTTGGAACTTTGGAACTTGTAAGATTGTGAGGTTCAACAAATAGTTCAATAAGGTAAGCTTATCCCCCGAGAAAAAAATTCAATAAGGTAAAGAATATAAGAAGTGAAACGACTTCACCTATCAAGTTTTTCTTATAGGTTACGAAGGGTTTTATGAAGTTGGAAAACACACACAAAAAAATCATAGTTTTATGATTGATGATGGAGCATAGTAAGTTTCTTATATTCAGATTTCAGTCAACCAACACACCTGACTGAATTATTGCAGCTGCAACCTCATCCTTAATGGAATGTTGTAAATTCATTTGCATGTTCATGCAACTGTTTATTGATCTTCGTATTTCAAAAATCTCTTGGTGGAGTTGCTCCATATGTCCTCGCAATTCATATATCAGTTCCATTTCCTGTTAATGCCATATTGTTATGACTAGTCTCAAACTCAAGAATCTCTGGCAAGTCATTGCAAGAAAAGGAAAAAAGAAAACTTACGATTGAAGGGTGTCTAGTGGAGGAGGAGGAGCATTGTTGATTGTGGTGGGAGTAAATGTTGGATAATTGAGGTTGTGGTAAAGAATTAGACGGAAGGTGATAGGAGTCATCACTGACACCCCTGTCTTGATCATTGCTCCATGATGGTAAAGTGTCCTGATTATTTCTCCATGACTGTAAAGTGTGTGAAGCTTTGTTCTGGTCAACTAATTCCTCAGGTCTGAGGTATTGTTGTCTAATGGGAGTATTATCATCTTCAAAGTCATCCTCATAACCCGAGTCTGCTTCTTCCTCATCATCATCACACCCGGCTGCTCGTGTTTCTATATGTGATAGCACTTCCCCCTCCTTGGCCTCTTCTTTAGTCATGTGTGCCCCTACTTTTCTCTCAAGCTGTCCGCTTTTTGCATTAGGTAGTTCTTGTGAGCGAGACGCCATTAGTTGATCTATTTTCTCTCTCAAACCACTGTTGAGAAAGATTGAAACACTTTTTCTGCACATTTATGAAGAGCAAAAGTAAGTGCAAATCATGAACTATGGTTATACTACAAAAGCTGAGTAATTAATATCTTAGGACAGCAAAAGGAGATACAAAGACTCTATTTTCATTTGAGTATCACTTTCCCTTGGCAAGCGGAACAATGACTTCCTTTTCCAAATTGCAAAAAGTTCTTTTACTTGTATCCCAGCTCGATCAAAATCCATTTCACATTCTTTTACACGTTAAAGTCAGTAAGCTCTCAGAGATGATCTCCACACCAGCATGGACAAGTACAGAAATGATCCATACACTAAGTGAAAATTATATTCTGAGGTAGAATCACTTTTGTCATTGCCTTCATTTTTATGAACTTTGTATATGTCTATGGCACCTTTGTGTTGTAACAATAGTTTCTATCTGATACTCTTGGTGAAAATCAGATTCTAGTGGTTTGTTATTGATTCTCCCCTGATTGTTTTATGCTTCATTAATGTGGGCAGGCAAACTGTCTATGGATCGTACTGATCGTACATAAATACCCAAGTAAACCTAAATCCAACTATTGCATAATGACAATAATAAATATATATATGATTAGTCTCAGATCAGATGCAAGGAATTTGTAATTACCTGTTAAGAAGTTGGCGAATATCATGATTCTCTAGGAAAGGATCAAGCATCTCTTGGTATCTTTCTTGCCTAAGACCTTCCCACTCTTCACGTGGACGAGAAACATCATTTATCCAGTCTTGGTTGGATTCTGATTGCTGCTGGTAATTAGACTGTAGTTCATCCCATCCACTTGGTGTGTGCGAATAATCACTTACCCAGCCACAATCACTGTCCACTAGATTTTGGTTGGTAGCTTCCTCTTCCCAGTCACTTTGAGGTTTGGTGCTCTCACTAGACCACTCATTACTAGTTCCTGCATGCTGCAGTTTATTTGCATCTTGTTCTTCTCTATGGACACTTTGTTCACTATCCTTGGGAGATCTTGATGTCTCTAAAAATTCCAGCGACTTGTCATGGTTATCTTGACAGCTTGCATTTTCCCAGCTAGCTTGGTCATGGGAAACATCTGAGCTGTGCAGTTGTGAAGTACAATGTAGTAAACTGGGGCTAACTGCTTGAGGACTACGGTCTACCTCATTATGTTTCGGACTACAAGAACTGTCAGAATGTCGGGTATGAATTGACATTTCTGTCTGGGGATTTGATGAGTTAGTAGCTTTTACATTTGTTGTCATCATTCGGGGACTTGTTTTCTCATTTACTTCCCTGTGGTGATTCTCTTCTTGCAGTTGATTGGATGTAAAAACTTTTCCAATTTGTGTATTGTTATCTATTACCTTTATGCAGAGAGTCATTGGGTCTCTAGGCACAGGATGATCCTCTCGTGTAGATGTGGAAGCAATTTCGGATTTAGGACTGCTATTGCTTCTTGAGTCAGCTACACCAGGCTGCATTGCAGCACTCTCTCTGATAATCTCCTGCTTCTGATTCCCTTCTCTTTGCTTATGGGATGCTAGTTCACTTCCAACTTTTACAGCATTATTACCTTTGTTCTCCTTATCACAGTTCTGTACTCTTAGCTGATTTGGTGTGGAATTCCGGCTTTCCTGGGTGTTCTCTGCCGCTTCTCTTGAGAGGCTTCTTGAGTCAGCTACACCATTTTGACTTCCTGTATTGAACCTTTCCCTGAAATGAATTACGATCCAAATTATGTATATTCCATAACTTTAGGTTCCATAAGGTAGAACCAAATGGATAATTGATTTCTTTTGAACCACACAACTTGTAAGGAAAATTGCCCTGATTTGAAGGAAAAGTTGAGACTTGTGGTAATTTCTTTTGGACCTACTACTACCGTTAACGTGTAATCATCAACTTCAATTGTTAGGTTCTTATACATTCCAAAAGGTATTTTATGCTGAGCTCATTCTGATATACTCAGATAAAGCAAAAATTTGAATAAATGGAAGTTAAGAGATGGAGCATTTGTCTACAACATCAATAGGTTCCAATGATAAGATTCTCCTTCGACTGTGTTAACACACCATAATCTTTGCCATAGCATGTTAAACAAATAAATCTGTTAAAAAATTCATTCTTCATGTTATTCAAAACACACTTCAGCTTGAGCACGATTCTTGCTCCAAATTTTTTCATATTTTAAGCAGTTGAATGTTCACATCTTGATGATCAACAATATTCTCCATAAGGTAACTGCAGATTATTCTTTTTGCAATGTACATATGGAATCAATTGAGACATGGCCTTTACCTGATATGCATGATTGCAGAACTAGACACTCTATTTGATTCGGATGATGTTCCATTGGTTGATCGATCATCTCTGGCGTCTGTGACACGACGCAGGAATCTAACTTTAAGCAAAGCCTGTTTAAGAAATTGGATTGTGCAGATCAATCAGCAAATGGTACAATGATCCTTTAAAGCAAATTCATCATTATAAGCTACATGTCAACGATTAGAGAGCAAAATGCAAACCTGAATACGACCTCTTTGTTGGAACTTGGAAACGGCCTTACGTTCCCTAAGAGTGTCAAGTTCCCGGAGTCTGTCACGCTCCATTTGCAAGAGCAAATCGCTTAATGCCTTTCGACCTCTGATGATTCGAGGCGAATGCAGAACTGGGAAAAAATTCCTTTGTTGTAGTTGTTGTTCTGAATGATCAAATGATGTTTTAATTCGAGGCAAACATTCACCAGTGGCAAGAGGAGCAGCATTAGTACAATTGTGTTCATTCTCATGATTCTCTTCACCATTACTACTTGCCAATTTCCTAATGATATCAGCAACTCTAAGCTTTTCCCTTTCTTTATTAGTATCTGTTTGTTTACAACCCTGAATATCATTCATAGCAGTTTTATACGCCTGTTCCCAATCCCCAGACGATTCGCCATTCACGCTTGTTGCCGGAGTTTCAAATCGTCCATCGACTGAAGATTCATCACATGTATCATCTCCTCTCTGAAGTACATTTAAGTCCGCAAATGCAGCATTTTCACAATTGCTTTTAGCGCTGCTTGGATTCGAATTGTTCCCCAAATTCACGCTCTTAGACACCGTTTCGAAATCCCTCCACCGTCGGACAAGAGTAGAAACGCCGCCTGAATTAGGCACTTCGACGGCGGCGGTGGTGGTTGCGGTAGTAGTTTCAAGCGAACAAGAAGAAGCTTCTCCTCTCTGTTTCGATGGCCTTGAAGAAATCACCATTTCTCTAGCTCTATCCCATTTATCAACGGTTGTAGGACTGTTCTCATTGTTGTCCCATTGCGGTTTATGAACCCATAAATCTGCATAGTCAACATGTCGGTGGTGCCGGGAATTTTCATTGGAATCAGAAGAATTATTAGTATTTGTGGGTTGACTTGAAGAAATGCAAGAATGGATATGTGTATGGACCAAATCTTTTAGATTCTTCTGGAAAACATTGGAATCCCTATGAGTACATCGATCACGCCTGTTACGATCTCTAAGTACATGACCAAATGAAGAAGAAGAGGCAATTTCTACCTGAGAAGATGCCATTTCTTCCGAAACTTGCTCAATCAAGAATGCTATATTTAATGTTTGTTGACAAAAAGGAGAAAACTTTGAACATTTCAACGTTCCCCAATGTAAAACACTAAAAATTGAAGACAACCCATCTGTCAAAATTGACTCGTCTTTCAGTAAAGAAGAAGAAGAAGAAGAAATTAGCAGAATGAAAAACAAGCAAAGATACATTCAAGAATAACAAAAATGACAACTCATTTTCTTTCTCTCAAAGAAAAAATTCCTAATAAAAATTGAATGCAAGACAAAGGGGGTCCTCTCTCTGTTTTTTTTTTTGGGTAATTAAAACGTCAAACCGTTGAACACGCAGAGAACGCAAGTTTCGCCGGTTATTTCTCTGTTTTTCATCTTGATAAGTTAATTCCCAAAACAGAGACTCAGAAAATTTCACAGGGAAAAAAAAAGGAATGAAGGAGATAAAGAGAGAGAAAGAATGAAGTGGCTAGAGAATATAGATGTGAAGTGAAGAGTAAACAAACAAAGATGGGAACTTCGTGGAACTATAATATCTTAAAGAAGACGAAAAACAGAGGAATGGGACATGTGGTGCGGTGCTCCTGCTGTTGTGATTCATAAATAAAACAGTTGCAATGGAGTAAAGTTAATATATTCTCTCCGTGCATTTTTACTTATTCAATATTTGATTTGATAAGACTTTTAAAAAAAATACTCCCTCAATCTCAATTTATATGATTTAATTTAACCTAACATAAAGTTTAAAAAAGAAAAAAGGATTTTTGAAACTTACAATTTTATAAATAATTGTGTGACTATAAATTATTTTACCCTTGACTTAAAGATTTCACCTTCGAATAAGTCTGGCAATGCGTTATTCGAATATATCATTTTTCTTTATACCGACTAAAAAAGACATAAAATTATATAAATTGAAACAAAATAAAAATGAAAGGAGGAGCATGTGCGTGGGTAGTATCATAGTTTGGTGTAGGAAAATGAGGGAAGATGGAAAAAGGGAGTATAGAGAGACGTTGGATTAGAGCCGTTGGAAGAAAATGTGGGGTCAAGATTGGATTATAAAAATGACTCCGTTTCTTCTACTTTGCGGTAAAGCCAAACTATTCCTTCCTTTCTTTTTTTTTCTCATGAGAGCGTCTCCCTTTTTTCTTACACACTCCTGCACTATTCTTTTTTACTTCAACTATTCTTTACCCTATATATTTATTATTTGGCAAATAATTGATTAGAGTTATGCAGATAATAATAGTAATAAATTTATTAAATATAATAAAGTGTGTTGAATTTTATATATAACAAATGAATGATACCAAAGGTAAATGAATGCCGTATGTTTATACATAGACTTGTCTCCTTTTGATATCGTCAATTAATAAATTTTTTTGTATCATTAGACAATGTCATTTTTATTTTACACATTTCTCTACATTTTCATTTTCATTTCTATTATGTTTAATGGAATCGATTAATTAATTGAATTATCCTCCAAATGCATAGTGGTAAAAAGCCAAAGTTTTTAGGAGTTGGAACATGAAAGTTGGCATAAAGAGGATTAAATGTCACAAGCATTGAGGATGGTGAGCAATAATGTTCACTATGGTTACAAGTACATTGCTAAAATTCAATGTTTCAAACATAACACACCGTTGGAAGTTGGGAGTGTCCCTACAAATTAATATATACTTCTTTAATTAAAAATAAATGTTATTCTCTCAAACTTCAATTTATACAATAGTGGTTGGTTAAACATAAAAATAATAATTTGAATTTGTTATCTTTAAGTATATAACAATATTTTTTATTATAAAAAAAACATGTTATTATGGGAATCTTTCAATTCACTTACTAGTTGTGTGGGAATTGACTAACTAGTAATATAAATTATTTATGCGGTGACCAACACAAAATAGGGAAAAAAAGTGTAAATGACCATATAAAGTGGGGGACAAAGAATGTGTCAATAATTCTCATGTATCATGTAGCTAACGTCGATCACGCAATGCATATACATATTATGTACATTAAATATAATACATAATATTTTGGAGAATAAGGCTGTGTCAGAAAAAAATTAGATTTAAGTTCTAAACGTTAAAATTCCACAAATATGAAAAAATCTCATTTAATCAGAAAAATAATAATCTTATGTTTCCGAAAATGTTTTTCAAATTAATCTAAATATGTAGCTTTTCCAGATTAAATATTTGGTTATAGTCTATCTTACTTTAATACCAATCAGTTATTATTTCATATTCATATGTTTCTGGCAGTCAAAAATTGATGAAATGGATCACCAAATTCAAATCAAAGTCACCTAAAATGTCACGACGAGATGGGTAAACATAGTATTTTATCATTTGATTAAAAATAAATAACTCTACAAAAAAATTTTTATACAGCCAGAGGTGCTTATGGAACATTGAATCGAAATTAAATGAATTGAATCAAACAAATCAAAACTGAATAAAGTTAGAAATAACAAAGAGAAAAATCGAAATTATTTTAAATCGTATTGTCACCTTTAATTTGAAAATTCATGTGGAATATAAAAAAATAATAATATATAATATTCAAATAGTAATGCATCAGACTTGTGAAAATGTAAAATTTTATTATTACATATACTTAGAGCATCAATATGGGCTAGGCCCGTTGGGCTGGCCTGACCTAACCCGTGCTTTGATAGGGCTGGGCTACGATTTTTGAAACTCATTTAAGAAAAAAGATTTTTAGCCCGGCCTGAATAAGCCTGTTGATTTGTGGGGCTTGAGAAATATGGATAGGGCTGACCCGTGAGCCAAATAAAAAATAAAAATAAAAATAAAATAGAGTATTAAAAATAATAAGAGTCTACACTCAAAATCTGTTTAAAGTTTGAAATATTACAATTTAAATACAAATTATGTTTATAAAATATGTACTACATAAAATAAAGTTCCTAAAATTTCTAGGGAATCACTACATAGGCCATAACCTTTGGAATATTATCATAGTTTTTGTGTTTTATTATGATCATTGGAAAACAATTAGGTTAATATTTCTATTTAACTATTTATGTTTTTACTTGAAATCAAACTTAATAAATATTATATAAATAATTTTATTTGTGTATTTGATTAACAAGTAGTAACACTAGTCGATATTTATGATATTTTTAAAAATTATAATTTAATTTAAAAAATTATAAAAAATATATTCTTAAGAAAAGAGGGTTGGGCCGGCAAAGTCCGTAGCCCACACACTTGTGGGTTGGGCCGACCATTTTTTGGCCTACATAAAAAATGGGTTAGCCCGACCTGACCCGTCAAATTGCAAAGTCTGTATGGATTAGCCCGGATGGAGTGGACCAACCCATATTGACAGCTCTACATATACTAAGCAACAGATTAGAAAACCATCTTAATTATATGCCACGTCATTAAACCGTTACTTTAAGGTGATGTTGCTGGACTACATGGCCCAATTGCCACAGGCCCATTTGATGCAGAACCCGGGTAGCTTTACTCTTCTTTCAATTTTAACCTATGGTAAAGTTTATTTTGTAACCCTTATTTAGCATTGCCATTATGTTTTCATCAATAGCTCAACAAGGTCAGGCTTGCCAATAAGCACCATTAAAGAGACATTCACTTTCTGCACTTCCTTTGATAATAAAATAAAATGCTTATTCATGTGAACAATCACTTGTCTAAGGCGCAAGGTTAATTTGAGTTAGCTTTGAGAATACAAAAAATTCTATTAGGAGCGCCGCTTCAGAAGTGGATCATACAATGCAGTAGAAATCTATTGTAAATTTCAGACGCCATGCAAAATAAAAATAAAAAACTTAATTCGAGTTGCGCACGGGTCTAAAAAAAAAGAAGTATAAAGAGAAACCTCAAATTGAGCTTTGCCATATGACACATTTAGTCGAAATTTCAAAAACCAATCCACAAACTTAACAGTTAGCCCTTCTTTATATAGAGAAAAAGCAACAGCTAGCTCTTTCTACGTTTACACTTCTCATGATCATGTTTAAAGAGTATTATAAAGTCCTCATTGATGGTTCCACGATGAGAAAGACTGAAAATACCATTAATTTCCAATATCTTTATTTTACTGAAATTTGTTATATTTTGGAATAATTCATACTTCTTTTTTATTGTGAATAAACCATCTCATATTTATCCTTGACTCTAATAAAACCTTAATCTGAAGACTGAAGTATAACGAAATAACTTTAATAAATCATAGCCAAACAGTAGAGGGGTAAATTTGACTTATAAATAAATCATAGCCAAACCACGTTTTTTAGTAATTAAAAGATACCGTTCACAAAATTAATATTATCATTACCGCCATTCCTTTTGGATTATCATGTGTTTTTCAAATAAACTATTTGATTAACTTTAAAGATAAATTAGATAACATTAATTCGATATTTTAAAAAATAAATATGAAATAGCTATATAAAAAGTACTATAAATTGTATATTTTTCTCAAATATGATAAAAATATATATTAAAATATTAATCTAAGTACGTATAGTTTGATTCTCAAAAAAAATTGACAAGTAAAAAGAAACGGGGAGCTGAATATTTGAAACCAAACAATTAATGGCCACGTGTACTTGCCAAGTCCATTGCACTTCCCTTTTTAATACTTATTATAGTCAATTCAACTTCTTAATGTATACTAATATAAGTAACCTTGTCTCCCACCCGAAATAATCAAAATCCAAATATATATATATATATATATTCCTTTTTATATTGTCAACTCAACATTTGTACATGTCCGCACGACTCGATAATTACATTTTCAAAACCCATAAAGGTGCTTCTCACGTATAGCTAGCTACTTCAAAAAAACTATATATACATATTGATATAGGAATAGAATGTACAATAACAAATCAAGCAATTCCTCTTCTTCATCAATATTGAAGTTCCTATATATATCCTCCTCAATTATCGTAGAATGAAGAGTTTTGTTTTCCTCACGGCGGCCTTGTTTCTGGTGGCCGCCGTGTCTGCTTCAGCATATGATGAGGACGATCTTCCTTATGACTACTACAGCAAGAGCTGTCCGAAGCTGGAGTTTATAGTGCACAAGAAAATGGAGGAATGGATTAAAAAAGATTATTCACTTGCTCCTGCTCTCATGAGGTTGCATTTTCATGACTGCTTTGTTAGGGTACGTATCGATCTTACTTA